ATATCGGAATACAAAGTTATGATAAAAATATTGAAGGAAGGTGCAGCTGCCTGTTTAAAATAAGAAATTCCGTTACATAGTCCGTTAAAACAACAAATTCCGTTAGTTTTTCCGTTAAAAACAAGAAATTCCGTTACATAGCCATTTTTAATATATAGAAGATATATATAAATTTCTGTGGGGGATTTATGTAATTGGCTTGGTTAATTATGTTTTTTAAGTTATTCATAAAATGTCTATATTACCCTTAATGAAATGAATTCTTATCTATTGCAAAATATATCCTTTTCTTTTTAGAATAGTTTTAAACCTAGCCCATGTTTGATACACATTCTTTAAAAATACATTTTTTTTCAAACTCATTTTCGACCACACATTTCTCAATACAATAATATTTTATATTGCATCAATAATTTTTCCTTATTTTTTAACCATATATTTCTCATCATATCACTATTTAAAATACATTTTTTCCTTAATAATATCTTTCAAACACACCCCTAGTTTTATCTTGTCTTTCTTCTATTTTGAATTTCAATATATAAATTCATTATATGATCTAATAAATTAGAATAGTCTGTAACATGTTCATATTTTTCTTTGAGTCTATTATATTTTTTAGATAATATATTTATATTTTCTAGTTGAGAAGTAATATTTTTTATTTCTTCTAACAATCTTTCTAATAGATTATCTAATCATTTAATTGTATATCCTGACATTTTATATATCAAATTATAAATATTAATGCAAACATTATGACAAATAATTCTTGCAATTCTCTAAGATTTTAGAAGAATTCTTTCTAAATTTAGCAAAAAATAATAGTTTTACCTTAGTTTTGATATGGATCTTTAACCTTAGAATCAAGTGACCTTCGAGCTCTGGATCTACAAACTATTCCCTTCAATGGCCTCTTGTTTTTACGGGATCTTTGCTATTCCAACTTCTTATTCTCTCTGTACTGTTTCTAAAGATTAAAACTCTAGATTTTGATTAAAGAAAAACTCTCTTTGTTGCTAAAATAAGAAAGAAATTTCCTATTAGATCTTTCAAGAATCTATGAGAAGAAAAGTTTAGAAACTCATATTTTTCTGAAATGATTGGAATATTATTGATCTATTCGAGATTGATACAAGATTAGCAAAAAGAACATAATGATTTGACTATTTCACAGATTGAGTGCTCAATTCATTCTGCATTTCATTTAACCCGAATGCCCCTTTTTATACACGAGATACGATTATCTAAATATCATATTCCTTACATCAATAATTTCCACTTTTTTTTATCAAAGACTAACATGTCCTTCTATTATTGTCTTGGTGATCCTACATTATATGATCTTCACATGCAGTTGAGCCAATCTCTTAGCTGACAAAATTCTTTGATGTTGGTCCTACCACTATCAAGAAATTTTGCCAGCTAAGAGATTGCCCCAACTGCATTATATAATGTAGGACCAACAAGGCAATAATAGAAGGACAGGTGTGCCTTCGATAAAAAAATGAAAATTATTGATGTAAGGAATACGAGGTTTAAATAATTGTATCTCATGTATAAATAGGGGCCTTCGGGTTAAATGAAAGGCAAAATGAATTGAGCGCTCAATCTGTGAGATAGCTAAATCTTTCTGTTCTTTTTTCTAATATTGTATCAATCTTGAATAGATCAATAATATTCCAATCTTTTCAGAAAAATATGAATTTCTAAACTTTTCTTCCCATAGATTTTTGAAAGATCTAATAGGAAATTTTTTTCTTACTTTAAGAGAGTTTTTCTTTAGTCTAGAGTTTTAATCTTTAGAAATAATACAGTAAGAGCAAGAAGCTGTGAGAGCAAAGATCCCGTAAATTCAATAAGCCATTCAAGGGAATGATTTGTAGATCTAGAGCTTGAAGGTCACTTGATTCTAAGGTTAAAGATCCAGATCAAAACTAAGGTAAAACTATTATTTTTTGCTAAATTTAGAAAAAATTCTTCTAAAATCTTAGAGAATCGTAGGGATTATTTGTCATAATGTTTGCATTAATATTTATAATTTGACATATAGAATGTTAGGATATACAATTAAAGGATTAGATAATCTATTAGAAAAATTGTTAGAAGAAATAAAAAATATTACTTCTCAACTAGAAAATATAAATATATTATCTGAAAAATATAATAGACTCAAAAAAAAATATGAACATGTTACAGACTATTCTAATTTATTAGATCATAGAATGAATTTATATATTGAAATTCAAAATAGAAGAAATACGAGATAGAACTAGATTTAAAACTATTCTAAAAAGAAAATGATATATTTTGCAATATAAAAGAATTCATTTTATTAAGGATAATATAAACATTTTATGAATAACTTAAAAAGCACAATTGATCAAGCCAATTACATAAATCCACCCGTGCTTTCTAACTTCCACAAGTAACAATATGCTAGACTGTCAAATTTTGCCTCCATTTGTTTATCATTTTTCATCCATAAAAATGAAAAATATGACCGTATCAAGTCATCAATTTTGAATTTTCATCTCTTGTATGAAACCCAATAACGGCTATATTTTTCATTCTCATTCTACAATAATGAGAATCAAACGTGCCCTTTGCTTTGATTCGCTTGTTGTACTGCTATTTTATTTTATTTTTTGGGTCTTTCATGTATAGTTTATTGGGTAAGATAAATAATAATAGATAAATTAAAAAAATTTAAATTCGTCAAGTACTATGAAAGAGTATTTGCCCCAACTTCTATCATTCTTCATAAATTCTTTTTTTTTTTAAAGAACTCTTTTTCAATCACATTTCACGATAGAATATTTTGTACGTAAACTCAAATTTTTTTCTACTTTTTAACTACACATTCTCCAAAAAAATAAATATTCCAAAACTCATTTTCCAAAAAAAATAATAATAAAAAAAAATTAGTGGGCATCAAAGAGGACTTTATTTTAGAGTTAGATTTCTAGACACTTCAACTTGTTACCCACCAACCATTCTTACATTAACAATCAATTTAATATTAGTTAGAAGTTAGATCCGATGTTCTTGAATAATAAGAGGACTACCTATATTTCAGTAAAGTATGTACAGTTAGTATAGGTTTGATCTATCGTGGATTTTCCATTTTCTATCCAAAAAGTTTCAAAAATGGATCTCGCCAAATCTGATATAATTTCGTGATTTGTTGGTTAAGGAAGAAAAGAGAAAGGATATTACGTACTCTCATTCGTGAGTACGATGATTCGAATTCTTTACCATCAACGGTGTAAAAAAAATGTGTCCGAACTCACCAAAAAGGCACATTACCAAGAATCCAATACAGTATTAATATAATGTAAAATTAGATCATTTGTACGTTTTTCTTGCCTGTAATTCAGTAGTGACGGGGTATTCATCCATGTCCACATAGTTTTTGTTAATGGAAGCCATTATAAGTTTGTCACACTCTGGTTCCATCCATGTGGTCACGAAGGATGCGAGATTAAGTCTAGGATTTCCATCCAACATAAGCTCATCGTTGATGATCTGATACGCCGCTTCCTTAGGAATTGAATTCTCCGACATTTTAAACCTGAAATGTCAATCGCATATCAAATACATTAAATTGAACATGATTAAGAAAGAAAAAGACATATTACAAAGTTTGTCCAATTCACAAGAGAAAAATGTTACTTGGGAAGAGAAGTTTGAACATATCGAGATGCAAACGTTGAGTTGATGGATTCATCCATTTGAGATGTTCTCTTGGATAAAGCCATAACGCTATGGCTATAGAGAGATTGTGATATGTGATGAAGATAAGATAGAAAGAATTGAGAGAAAAGTGAGATATTTTGTGTGTGGATGAGATAGATATAGCGTGAAGTGAAGAGTGGGCAAGTTTGGAGGAATAATTGAGTCTACTATTCCACCAATGTTATCATCTGTAAATGTAAAGAGGATTTAATTGGCTCTTTTCATTTGCCGACAACCTTTTAAATTTTGTGTCCCATATCATCATTTCCCACCACGGAAAATATATTTTTTTTTTTTCCAAATTGAAAATCTTAAACAACATCGAAAACTCGAAAACATTTTTCTGATCTAATAAAATGTCAAATTATTAGTACATTTAATAATTAGATCGGTGTTTAATTTTACAATCGTGCTACAGTGTCATAATTCTTGACATAATATCATATGGTATTTTAATATTGGACTGTTAGAAATATAGTTAACTTTTTCATCAAATCATCTGTCGCTACCTCGAATTTTGTCACTGCATTTGTAAAATTTCTTCTAACAAAATCCTTAATTTTACTAATGATGGATGATATTACTTTAAATAAAAGGCAAACGTTGCTTCTAAGTAACTTATCTAACCGTGTATAGGTATTACTAATGATTGATTTGTTTGACTTCCTTAAGAAATATTTATTATTATCTAGGACCCACCAAAAACTAAGAGTGGACACAATGTGATTCAATCTTATTGTGAAGGGAATCAAACCAAATTAGCGTCTGTCTGGGCGTGATTTTGAGTTGGTGAAATCAATTTTTTGAACGTTTGCGCCGGGCCCACGTATACACCTCTAGCTCTTGGAAGCAAACCTACATGGCGCTATAACTGAAATGCCCTCACATGTGCAAGATGTGTGGGTGGTTGTGTGTAATTTTGTTGAAATTTAAGGACACACAAGGAAACATGGCCTGGCACAAGGAAACATGGACTGACTTCCTGTCAGTCCATATGAAGGAAAAGAAGCCGTTGAAATTATCAACGGTCGAAAATTCACTTTTTTTGGCATTTTTAAGCGAGTCCAGACATGTCCTAAGTACCAATGAAAATTTTAAATATAGAATCATTCATTTCATATTTAACTATGGAACCGAACCTTCTAGTTTCGTCCGATCTTTTATATTAAAAAAATTATAAAAATAAATAAGAAACTACTCGCCATATTGAAAACAGACAAAAAATAGTCATTTGTCGTTCTTGTATAAAACAATAAAAAAAATCAATTAAACAATAAAACAAACAAAAATCAACTTCAAAGCTGAAGATCAATTGATAAAGACGGGAAAAGGAATAAACTATTAAAAGTCATCATAAACTATGAAGTTTGGATCGAAAGTTAATTATTAAAAAACTCAAACAACAATATATATTAAAAATACATGTATTATTAATAACCTGATTATCTTTAATATTCCAATGGAAAATATCATAAATCTTGATGGTCAGCCACTTTGAAAACAACAAAAAGTTTGAGTTCTTAGGAAAGATTAAACTAAAGTTTTTCCTAATTGGGTTAAATTAAAGTTATGGATTTGTAAAATTTTATAAAATTATTTAGATTTGAATTTTAACTGCCCATTAGGTTTTGTAGCAAAGGAAACAAGAAGATATGTGTGTTCAAATATCTAGTACATCTCGATGCAATGCACCAGCAAAAGGAAGAATTTTGGAAAACTAAAGTTACTATTGGTTTTCATAGCAGCATTGAGAACTGAACAGGAATGTTCGATTCTCAATATATGGTGCTAAAATCGATTAATTCAGTAGAGGACCAGAGCTAGACCAATCAGTTCAATTTGATTTTGGTTCGATTCCGTTAAAAAAGTAATAAGCCCACACCTATGGAAAACAATAATCATCCATTCTCAACATTTTACCTATGTTCTTCAATACATTTTGGTAAATAAGTATTTTTTTCTAAACATTCTAATATTGAATCCCCCTATATTCCTCTACTTTAGCTCATGTTTGATGACCATTATTTTCAATTTTTTTACATATTTATTTCAATCACATTTACACAATAAAATATTATGTACGTAAACTCAAATTTTTTCCTACTTTTTAACCACACATTCTCTTAAAAATCATTATTCAAAACTCTATTTTTCTCAAATAATATATGTCAAATAGGGGCTTAATATCAACTCAAGTAATTAACAGTACTTATTTATTTATTAAATAATCCCTCTTGTAATATTAAAATTGTTCTCACATATGACTACTATATCTCTGTGAATTGTGCAATATATGAAAACGAATTAAGTCCCACAAACATTTATAATGAGATCATACAAATCATAATCGTATATCTCTATCCACTATTGATTATAGATCAAGTAATTGAAAGCAATATTGACACAACAATCATTTAAGCCAAACAAATATTTGACATCAAAAACTTGAAATTATTATTAAAATTTTAGAATAGAGAGTTCGTCGTCGTCCTATAGTATCGACAATTAGTCAAGTATCATAAAACTACACAAAATTGATTTGGAATAATAATACATCACTTGAATTTCAATTGAAAAAAGAAAGTGGAAAATAACTCTTGAATCTTTTCAATAATTCTTGAATGATCTTCTTGTATTATCTTATTCCTCTTCCGAAATTCGAGTAAAGGTATTAATTTTGTGTATGATTGTGTGTTTGTGAATCCAAGTTTCTTCCCCGTTCAATGGTAGAAAATTCTTCTTGTGAATCCAAGTTTCTTCCCCGTTCAATGGTAGAAAATTCTTCTTTTATAGTCCCAAGATTAAGGTAAAATTCGTGTCATTTCCTTTTTTCTTATAGGAGTCTAATTAGACTATGAAACAAAATCTAGTTCAGCATCGCCTAACCATGGGATCACCTGGTTTTCTGACATTCGATCACATGGTTCAGCTCCATAACATACTGGTGCATGTTCTAATCTTGTTGCGATCGCATCTTTACTAACATGCGGTCGTCGCATGGTTCAGCACCATAACATGCTAGTGCATGTCCTGATCTTGTTGTGGTCGTATGGTTCAAACATTACTAACGCAAGGTTTGATAATTTTCTTTCGAGTTAGTCCGCCAATATCCTCTTTAGTTCAGTTGAAGTTCTTTATTATTTTCATCATGAGTCCTTTATCTTTAAAACTTTTACAGTTTAATCTCTGTCATTCACAATTTGTTCTTTTCCGATCCTCATCATTCAATTTTTGCTCCGTTTCTTCATTCACCATCCAACATTGAATTTCCTTTTTAAAAATCAACATTGAACCAAAATTAAGGCCCTATTGAGCCCCATTTTTGGGGGAAAATAAATTTTGGGATGTTGATTTTTTTGGAATGTATGGTAAAAATATAAGAATTTTTTTTAATTATACGTGTAAAATTATTTTATGAGAGAATGTATAGTTGAAAATTATTTTTTTTAAGAAAAAAATGACTTTTAAAAAATAGAGCTCAAACATAAAACTAAGCTTTTGTTTGGTTCTCATTATTTTCAAAATACATTTTTCGAGTTTTATTTTCAATTACACATTATTCAATAAAATAATATTACGCACAAACTTAAAACTTTTTCTTATTTTTTAATCACATTCTCCATCAAAATACTATTCCAAAATGTATTTTTGACAAAAAAAAACAAAAAAAAAGAGGCTCAAACAAGCTTTAAATAACATCACAATAAAAATAACTTTGAAACATCAACTTTTGATGGTCAGGATAAATGTAATATCAAATATATAAATAACCGATTGAAAAAAAAATAATGTTGAACTTTTTATATCGATTATTCTTAGAACATATGAGGGCCATTTTAGTAGAAAAATTCAGTGTTCTAAATAATTCGTCTGGGCACTCTTTATGCTTGAAGTTCGGCAAAACGTCTCGCTTCACACTTAAAGACGCTTTTTTTTTTTTTTCCAATTTTTAAACGGTTGATTTTTTTCATTCCTCTCTTTCGTCTTCCCTACCGCTTTTTATTCATTTTTTCCTTTTTTCTAAAAGTCTTTTATTTAACTTTAGCTTATTATTTAAAAAAAAAAACTTTTCATTTGACTTTAATTTCAAATTTTTAAAAGATTTTATCTATACAAAAGTTAAACATGACTTTGTCTAAATAATTAAATTAAATTTAAACTATAGTGTTATCTTTATTATGTAATTATGATCTTGAAACTCGTTATTTTGTTACAAACTCCAAAAACATATACGAAATTTTTATAAATTTGTTGGGTAGGACTTATTTAGTTGAAAATTAAAACTATGAAAAATATTCTATTTTTTGTATTTCGAAAACTTGAAAATTGTATATTCAACAAATAGTAGGAACTATTCAGTAAATATGGTATTTTATAATTTTAGATGTTTGATATGTATTCTTTTTATTAATAAATAATTAAAAAATTTAAAATAATATTAAAAATAAGAAAACATTTTTTTATGCTTAAACCTAGCCAAAACCTTCTTAAACTCGTAAATTTTAAAATTTCGTCTCCACGTCTCACCACGCTTTACGCTTTTTAGAACACAAAAAATCAAGTCGAATGAGTTGACCATTCGACACGTACAAGTCATTGACCTCGAAGCACATTTTTGAAAGGGCTTTGCTGGACGTCCAGGGGGCCGACGTGTCTGGACGTCCAACATTTTTGTATTTGAAATGAAAAAAGTTTCAAGTACAGACAAATAATTACAGAATATTTACAGGAATTCAAATGTTGTCTCATATGGGGTGGCCTCACATGATTAATGTATTGACAAAAATCTCACCCCACCCACCTATGTTGTGAGTTGTTTGACAAGTACATGATTTTATTAAAATCTTGTACGTGTAGCATTGTTCTTTTGAAATCATTCGCTTATGAAAAATATCTCTATTTGAATGGGCCCTTCTTTGACAGATGTCTAGTTTAATTCTAATGATTTTATTACCAACTAGAGATTTTAACCTTATTTTCAAGATTTTTTTAACTAACCAGTTCAGTTATCGATTTTGTCTCA